ACTTTTTTTTTGTATTTCTCAAATGTCTACACTGAACATCAATTGTTTTTATAATTAAAACAACCGAATTAAATGAAAACAAACAAACAAACAGATGAGAGAGTTATCCCATTTAGGGATGATGGTTAAATTGGAGCAAGCTTCTGGGGCACCTGGGTGACTCAGTGGTTAAGCATCTGCCTTCGGCTCAGGTCATGATCCCGGGGCTCCTGGGATCAAGCCCAGAGTCGGGCTCCCTGCTTGGCAGGGAGTCTGCTTCTCCTTCTCCTCCCAGCTTGTGCTCTCTTGTTGTCTCTGTCTCATTCTCTCAAATAAATAAATAAATAAATAAATAAAATCTTTAAAAATAAAGTAAAATGTAAAAAAAAATTGGAGCAAGCTTCTTGTAGTAGGCTGAATACAGCAACTGAAGATTATGATTATGAACCTGTAAGTCTCAACTTACAAAGAAAAGAGGTCTTTGTAGATGTGATTAAGTAAGGATCTTGAGATGAGGGAATTGTTCTTGATCATTTGGGTGGACCCTACGTTCAGCCCAGTGTTCTCCTAAGACAGAGGCAGAAGGGATGTGATACACACAAAGGAGGAGGCGGCAACGTGACCAAAGAGACAGAGTCCAGCGAGTGCTGTGGCCACAAGAGAAGGAAAGCCAGCAGCCACTGAAAGCTGGGAAAGGCGCGAAGTGGATTCTCCCCTAGAGCCTCTGGAGGGAGCACAGCCCTGCCAGCACCTTGATTTCTGCCATGTGAAACTGATGTCAAACTTCTGGCTGTGAAAGAATACATTTCTGTTTTACGCAACCAAGTTTGTGATAATTTGTTACAACAGCCAAGGGAAACGAATATACTTCCCTCCCTCTAAATCATACCATCAAACAACTTTGTGTGTCTGTTTCAGTTTATCATGACGTGGCATTCTCAAGTAGGTTTCTGGACGTTCCTAGTTTTTTAAATTAACTGAGGTTACTGTTCCTACCTGCTTCTGCTTTGCTGGCATTACCCTTTGTACCTGTTTGGCTGAATAGAGGTTCCAGGATAGGTGACAGAACAGATGCTATGATGTACCATCAGCACGGCAACATAATAAACTCCAAAGGCCTGCTTTTGGCTTTTTCACTCACTTCACCTCCAAATTCAGTCTCACTTTTAGTTCTGTCACCTGCCTTAACTCTCAGCCTCACTCTCACACTGAAATCCTTCTGATATTACTTATGTTTAGAAAGATAATAATGACCGTCATTTACTGGACATGTGCTTTGGGGTGCAAGGGGTCAAGAAGGGAGTGTGGCATACCACACGGAGACTAAGCTTACACGGCCAGTAAGTGGAAGAGTAGGGGTTTAAAGCCAGGTCTGCCTACTACAAAAGCTCATACTCCTTCCGCTGCCTTTCAAGTTTGGGATTTGGGATTGTTTACAAGTCTTCAAAATCAGATATCTACCTAAACATCTCCCTTTTCCTTCCCAGTGAACAAGAAGAACATTATTTGGGCAGGAAAACTAGGAACTGGATTGTCTCCTCCTCCTCCCTGCCCCTCTTCTTCTCCTCCTACTCTTCCTCTTCCTTCTTTTTCAGTGCACTTTGGGGAACCAAACTGGGAGGAGGGATAATGTAAATAATGAGCACAGTGAGTTTCTCTTCCTTCTTCTTTGAATTTCCTTAGTTAAGCCCCCCTGGATGTGGTTAGGTTATCATGCCAGAGAGGATCTCACATCCTGACTCTAATAACCTCAATGCAAATGTCCATGATACAAAACAACCTGAAATCAGTAGCTTGGATGGTACTTTTTCTTAGTTTTTGGGAAAGAGATCTGGTAGTGCTGTTGCCAGTTGGCTAAACACTAGAGCCTCCAATTTATTTAAGATGTGTTTATTCACTAAGCACTTCAGTTTATCAACAGGGGTAGTTAGGACATAGCCTTTGCACATACTAGACACAAATTGCCAAATACTGGCCTCCATCTACTCTCAGTTCATTCACAGAGATGGTTCCAAGACTACGGAGAGCACACTGACCAAGAGCAATGGTGCTGGCTCTCCCTCACCACTAACTGACTCTGGGTAAGTCTCTTAACTTTCATTCTCTCATTCAATCGGCTATTTTTTTTTTTTGATCACCAAAGATGTTGAAATCCTTGCTCTGACACTTACCAGCTTTGAGACCTTGGTTATGCAAATCTAAGCCTCAGATGCTTTCTGTGTAAATTGGAAATGGTAATAGTGCCTTCTCAGTACAATTCTTTTTTTTTTTTTTTTTTTTTTTTTGCGAGAGAGAGAATGAGAGAGGGCACGAGAGGGAGGAGGGTCAGAGGGAGAAGCAGACTCTCCGCTGAGCAGGGAGCCCGATGCGGGACTCGATCCCAGGACTCCAGGATCATGACCTGAGCTGAAGGCAGTCGCTTAACCAACTGAGCCACCCAGGCGCCCTTTCTCAGTACAATTCTTGTGAGAATGAAATGAGATGATGTACATAAAGAGCTTAGTGTGGTGCCTGGCATTTAATGGCAATTTTTCATTTGATAAGCAATTATGAAGCACTTACTGTGTTCTGTACCTGATGCTATGCTCTGGGGCTACACATCACAATAAAACCTGCCATTTAGTGACTGCATTCTTTGGGCCAGATATGCAACTGTGATTGTCTCAAATTGTCCTCATAACAACTTGTAAGACATGCATTATTTTCACCATCTTATAAATGAAGAAACTGAATTCAGGGAAGTAAAGCTCAAGGCTACACACCTAGTAAGTAACAGAGCTGGGATTTGAACTCCTGTCGATCTAATTCCAAATCTCATTTACCATCACTCTGCTATGCAGCCTTACTGTTAGCCAGAATGAGACACATGTCCTGCTCACAATCTAGAGAGGGAAAACATGTATTAACTCATTGCAGTGTGACATATATAATAACATCAGGTGAGCATTCTATGTACTATGCATTCTCTATGTGCTCATTCAGCTCTTAGAACAGCTTGCAAATGTAGTCCACATGCATGGCCACTATACCCTAGTGCCACTCGGGAGCGCTAACAACGGATGAACAGTCTGCTCCAGGTGTTCTGAGGAGTGACAATAACTATGCGTGTGAGAATAAGATTTCATAAATGTGATGGTATGTGGGTTGGAACCTGCAAGTGAGAATGTACCTGGTTGAGAGGGAGAGATTGGGAAGGAAGGGAAAACCAGGGAGAAAAAATAGCACATGCAAAGACCCATTATCTTCACTGTCTAACCTCCCATGTCTCTAAAGTACATTGGAAATCCTTAATAGGTCTGGTACAGAAGACACTCCATTTTTCTCCATTCTTCCCTTTTATTTCTTCATGTCCTTTGTGAAAGAATTGCATCTAAAATGGAACCAGAAGATATAAAATGAAGAATCTCACACATGTGCCTGCAGGGAAATAAAACTTAAGGACTGAGAAACTCATTTCCCATAGATGCGTGGTTTACAGAAAACTGGTATTGGAATTGTCTTCAACGATAGGGAGTTGGTCAGGGGTTGCCTCATATCAACCTTAGGAAGTTTTGCTTGTGGTTTCCAGAGGTATGAACAAGAAATGACCCAGGTGGGGTTGATCTTGTAAAACGAGCTGGATTGAGTTTTGTTTGTATGACCGGACTGGTTTTGTCTGCTTGGTGAATTTTCAAAGCTGGTCTCCCTTTGTTTTTTATTTTAACAGACTCTAACTGAGCTCTCTCCTCCTTGCATTCCCTGCCCATAAATACAGCCTACCCCAAACCCTCAAGGGACTCACTGTAGTTTGCTACAGTTTGCATGTCTTGAACTGCAACTCCTCTGCTATTCCTGAATAAACTCATCTTTTTGACAATTTTGACCTTGCCTCAGTTTCCCTATTTAGGTTAACACCTTCTACCCATCCCTAGCTGACACTCATCACATTCCTCACCTGCCTTTCATAGGCCACCTAGCTCATTGCAATCACTTGCAATAGCTCCCTTTCTTTCACTTTGCTTCCTCTGATCTATTTAAAAACAGTTGCATATAATTTTCTAAAGTAGAGCTCTGACCACCGATCTCCTCTGACTCTGAAATCTTCAAATCTCCCACTTCCACCAGAGTAGTGTAATCCACACAGCCAGCAAGCCACCATCCTTGACAAAGTCTTGATTTGTCTTTCAAATCTCCTACCACCCCCTTTCTTTAACACTAACAGTGCTCCTCAAACTTCGGTGTAAATCATAATCATCCCTGCGACACCTCTTAAAAATACATCTGCCTGGGCTCCAATCCCAGAATGTCTGATTCAGTGTCTGGGATGTGCCCCAGACATTTTTGGGTTTCTGTTGTCTTTGATGCTCTAGGACACATATTGTTAAATTTCCTCCTGGTGTTTCTAACTCACCGAATTTTGAAACACACTTTTTCGACTTTCCCTAAATTTGTAAGTTCCCCCACGCTTTCTCATTTAATTCGGGCGTTAAATTATTCCTTCTTCCAGAATCTCCTAATTTTTAAAACCTATCCATCTTTCAAGACTCAGATCAAATGCCACATCTCCCAGGAAGTCTTTCCTGCGCATTTCTTTGGTATTTAGCTGCACTTTTCGTGTGGCACCTCCTGCTTATTTAGGAAGCGTCCAGCCAAAGAGTTCCCTGGTCCGAGAAAGACCTATTCCTCCACCGTCCACCCTGATCCCTAGCCCTCCCGCGGGAATCGGACATGCGCAGTAAATCCCGTTGGATCACTATCTGAATCGATTCTTCCCGGAAATCCAAGGCACAACTCTCTCGGATGCCCTTTGCAGTTGTGAAGCAAAGCACCGGCAACGGAGGCAGGCAGGAACCGCTCAGAGCCTGGAAACGAACTAGTCTGGGGACGAAGACCCCACGCGAGGAAGCCACGCGAAGGGCGCTTCCGCCTCTCGGCCCGCTCTACCCCCTGAGGTTAGCCTCGCCCTTCGATTGGCTGCTCCTCTCACCCATCCCGACAAAGGCTGTTGCCCACGTGACCCGCTGGAGGCCGTAGGATTGGTTGCTCCATGAGGGCTTTACTGGGCTAGGGGACGCCGGCGGGGCAGCAAGGCCGAGGCCGGCGAGAAGCGGGAAGCGGGAAGCAGGACCGGGACCGGGTGTAGCCGGGGACCAAAAGGCCGAGGGTCGGCCGCCATCAGTGTTTGCAGGCCACCTGAGATAGGGCGGAGGAGCTTGAGGAGTTCAGAAAGCGGGCTGTGGACTCCTGTCTGGGACTTTGGTTTATGCCCTGGCTTCGGCCTTACTTGTATTTCCCCGCAAGAACGGCTCCTCTCAGTCTTTGCTGAAGTTGGGGGTTGGACTTTATTATCATCATTTTGTGGAGGGTCCACTGTATGTAAGCACTGGTCCTGCGCCGAGCGCTATGGAGACAGCCATGAGGTAGAAGCTTGGGGAGGGAGGGCTTAGAGATGCTTGAGGTATGTTCCTTACCCACCTGCAATGTTGGAGGTAAGTTGGCTTTATTTTTGTGCTGATGTATATTATAATCGAGGAAGGTAAGGTTTAGGAGGGAGGGTCGCCCATTGACTGAATTAAACGTTCATTTATTGACCTTCGTCCTATGTACCAGGCACCGTCTGAGTGTAATGGATGCAAAGGCCAGTAAGACACTGCCCTGGTTCTGTAGGAACTCAGTGTCGTGGGGCTGGTGGGATAGGCGGATGTGGGGGATGTGCGTGGGTGAATAAGTGACATGTGATGCGTGGGGAGAAGTGCTGTGAGAGTCAGAAGAGAGGATGACTGGGGGTTAGAGACCACTTTACTGAGAAGGTGACGTTTGAGTAGGGTTATATAATTAGGCGTTCGCCAGATTGCAAGGGTTGGGGGAGGCACTCCAGATGGAGCAAAGTGTGCTGAGGAAGAGAACTAGGGATGTGTGCTTGCTGTGTATGGTGGGAGCTCACTTGGAGCTCTGCTTTTAGACAGTTTCATGCTTTTAGACAAAGTTAAGTTTCTCTGAGCCTCTGTTTTCCTCATTTTTTTTTTTTAAAGATTTTATTTATTTATTTGACAGAGAGCACAAGCAGGGGGAAGGCAGGGAAAGGGAGAAGCAGGCTCCCACTGAGCAGAGAGCCCTACGTGGGGCTCCATCCGAGGACTCTGGGATCATGACCTGAGCCGAAGGCAGACGCTTAACGGTCTGAGCCACCCAGGTGCCGCTGTTTTCTCATTTATAACATGTACTTCACCTGTAGAGGGTGATGAGCTAACGGATCAATCATAACCCCTGTAAAACAGGTACTTTGTTAGTTTCTCTCTTTTTATGGAGTTTAGTTGCTGAATGGCCAACACAGAACAACAGCTGCCAGTTTTTAACTAAGGACTATCAATCTATTGACATTTATAGATGGCTGAAGGAAGCATATGCTGTCTCCAGAATTGTTACTTAGATACAGACAATACCGTGCTGATAGTCTGGGGAGGATGACATTGTGACCCAAGTACTTTTCCATGTCGGTGATAGCATACCACCAGAGTGTGTCATTTAGAATAAATGAAATGCAGTCAACTTTCTTATTCAGAAATCGATTATCCAGGTTGTGAATTATCTAGACTTTTGCATTACCTTTTTTTTTTTTTTTTTAAGATTTTACATAATCTCCACACCCAAGGTGGGGATCGAAATCACAGCCCTAAGATCAAGAGTCCCATGCTCCACTGACTGAGCCAGCCAGGCGCCCCTGCATTGCTTCTGTTATCTTGCCAATGGTCTGGAGAAAAATGAAAGTAAATCTCATATTTAGCTGGTAGTGGAAAAATATAAATCTGGTATTCAGACCTCTGTTCTCTTTCCAGCTCTACTGTTAATTTGCTGTGGACCTTTAGCAACACATAGCCTCCCTGGGTCTAGCACTCTTAAGATAGAAGATTCCAGTAAAAAAACTTTATGACTATACTTTTTATCTTTATTGGCAGAATTGTAAATCAAATTGTATATTAAATGAACAGGAGTTTACTTTATAATGGAATTTAGTAGAAAATCTTTTCTAAAGCTTTTGCTTTAGAATTAGACTATAAATCCCTTCACAGACATCTTTGGAATTTTATCATGCATGATGTTGGGATCATTAAAAAAAGTTTTTGAACCATAAATGCTTCTCCACTCCTCTATTTCAAAAACAAAAAAGCTCCTCCAAACCAAAACTTGTTCAAGTTTGCTTTTTTGTACAGCTGAGTCTTTAAAGCAAGCATAGTGGAAAATGAAATACTTATTAAAAGTCCATGGTTGAAACTTAACTATATAGAAGCCTTTATTTTTTTCGTAAGTTAACCTAAGTCGTCTTGGATGTGAAAATAATGTTGGACCGCGCTTAGGTATATAAGGATGTGAAATGCAATGATGCGATGATGAGTGAAGTATAGTCTGACCTGGTATTGCCATTGCCTCAGTTCTGGCTCTGACCAGGGTATGATTCCTTAATCTTCTCTCTGAGCTGATTGTGGTTGTGGTTTTTCCACATTGGAATGTTCTCATCTATTTGGATACTGATTTTATTATGTATAAGAGTGTTTCTTTTATAGTCTTTTGAGTTGCTGATACTTTCTCATGTTTTCCTTCTTAGGTTGAGGTGAAAAATCTGGCTTTGATATCTTCGTGGAGGTCTACCTTCTTTCAATCCTGAATCTGGTTCAGTTTTCTTATTGACTTATTACTGTATTAAAAATGTTTGTTTAATTAACTATGGTGTTTGTTTTGGTACAGTCTTGCAATTTAACAAGAACTTTAACAAATATCCATTATATTCTTTTTATGGTACAGAAGAATGTTAATATTTTCAAATCCATAGGTTATTCCATTTCAAAGTTTAATTTTATCAACTTTGCACTATCAGAAAATATGCTTTGAATTGCTAAATGAGTTAAAGTATTAGAAAACACCTGTCTCAGCAGAGGCACTTAAGTTATTTTCATCCTTCCTCTACCCATATATTTTCACCAACCTGACAATCCACTGGCATGAATTTTACTACATAAGCAACTTAAGTGTTTCTGTAGTATTTCTAATACAGGGTCTTTCACATAAAGCTGAATTCTTGCTGTTGCAGTAGAGGTTTTTTCCTGCAAGTATTGGATTAGCAAAAAAAAAAAAAAAAAAAAGCAAAATGTCAATACAAAAATACCTCAAAGTCAAAGGTGGTCTGAATGAAAAATGTACTTTAAACACCTCAAGTAATTTTTTTTTTAAGATTTATTTATTTGAGAGAGAGAGAGAGAGAGGGCAAACCAGGGGAGGGGCAGAGGGAGAGAGAGAATCCCAGGCAGACTCCATGCTGAGCGGTCGAGCCCACCGTGTGGCTTGATCTCGAGACCCTGAGATCATGACCTGAGCCGACACCAAGAGTTGGACACTGCTTAACCAACTGAGCCACCCAGGCACCTCCACCTCAAGTAATGTTTGTTTCCACATAATCATGACAACTTGGAATGACTCTTTGCCAAAAACGTTTATTCTTAAAATTTACTTAAGCATTTCACAGAAACTTAGTAATAGCCAGAATAATTCGTGCCCATTTAGCAAACTCTTAACAGCAAGAAGAAAGAGCCTATTAAAAGATTCTTTTGCACAAAGTTAAATCAGTATATTGTCATCTCTTGATTGCTTATTCGTTTTGCTTTCACACTGAAATCTTCAGACTGCTCTCTATATACGTTCAACCCCTATTTTTCTTTAACAAGTTGCCCAAGAAAAGATATGTATGGCTCATAAAGGAATCTTAAAAGTTGATACACTATAGCAGATGCTACTTAACAAGTGGCTCACAGTATATGGAAGGTGCTTTGTTTTTCTAAGCTGTTTCTAAGTATTTCTGTAAAGAGCAGGTCCATATTTCACATTGTTTGCAAACTGATAAAGTCTCTTCCTCATAGGCAGATAAATGCTTTCTTTTCTCAAGGGCTGCTTCCCCATCACCCACTTTTATAAGGTCTAACTTGGGTTTTTCCTGAGAGCTTCTATACCTCTTGTTCTTCGAGGAAAAGCTTCTGTACTATCCTCTTTCATCCACTTCCTCTACACTGACCTTCATGTCCCCTGTCAATCCTGATTCTCTTATTCTAACCAGCTTGCTAAACTCTTAAGTAGGAGTCTAGAGAGCAGGTTAAAAGGTTTAGATCAATAGATATATCCTTTTAAAGAATCCATATACAGCTGATACTTGAACACAGATTTGAATTGTGTGGGTCCACTTATATATGGATTTTTTTTATAGTACAGTACTATAAATGCATTTTCTGTTATGACTTTCCTAGTATTTTCTTTAGCTTTACTGCAAGAATACAGTATATAATACATCTAACATACAGAATATGTGTTAACTGATTGTTGATGTTAGCAGTAAGGCTTCCGGTCAATAGTAGGCTGTTAGTAGTTAAGTTTTGGGGGAGTCAAAAGTTATATGTGAATTTTCTACTGGGGGGAGTGGTGTTGGCACCGTTAACACACATGTCATTCAGGGTCAATTCTAGTTGTGTAAAGTTCATATAATTACGAATTGGGGATGAGAAGACTCAATGCTATGTACTGTGCTGAAAATCAGTTTCTCAGCCTTATAGTGCAATAATTTTGTTGTGAGATAAAATCCTAATCCCTTTCAGTTCTCAGGGGAGTACAGTTTAATTAGATGTTGTACTTCTGTTGGATAACCTGTTATGGGACAAGCTTGGTGACTCCTTACATAATTAAATACACAGCGGTAACAAAACACATAGCCAGAGGTGGCAAGAACAGTATCATTCACCCGGGTTTTGCGACACAGTGGGCACACAGTCTTCATTTTGGGTAACAGAGGAGAATCGGAATTGTAATCTAGGTGTACAGGTGGTGGTGGAGTAGGCAGGGCAGTCAGTGATTTGATGGTTTCTTGATTTTCAGATGAGTACCACCACTCAAGGAACTGCAGAAAGAATACTCCCACAGAAAGGCCAGTAGAGAGGGATAAGGCAGCACCTCCCAAAGTTTTTTTCAGAGCTGATTTTATCTTCTCACCAACACTGGTGGGGGAATAGAACAAGCAGGCAAAAGGAGAAACTTTATTTAGGTATGATCACAGAATGACTAATATAAATGTACCTCTTAAACTTTTCATCAGAATCACTGATTCAGTTTGGAGACTGAGTAGTTGCTAGATTGGCACTGTCTCCTTTAGTATCTATTCTAAACGATTTCCTTTTTCTGATCTACAGTATTTTGGGAGTATAGGAGCTAAACTTTGTATTTAATGACGAGGGTTTTGTTTTTGCGTTTTGAGAAAGAAATTAGTGTGACGTTGATAAATGTGTGTGTGTGTGTGTAAGATAGTCCAGAAAAAGAAACAACTCACTTAACAAAAAATAGCAATATTGAGGAATATATTTTTGAACTTGTAGGAGAACACAAACACTAACTAGAAGGTCTTGAGAACTGTTGATCTGGCTCGAATCTCCATTCTGCCACCTTCTAGCTATGTGGTCTTGGCAAGGTACTTAGCTATTAGGTCTTAGTTTCCTCAGGTGTTAAACGAGGTAATGAATTTATTTCACTGAGTTGTGAGGAGGATTGAGATAATGTATGTAAAGCAGACAGCTAGCACAGGGCCTGGCACACAGCAAGCATGCATAAAAATGTAGCTAGTATGATGAGGAAGGTTACCAGGATGGCAACTCTTGTTTTATGAACACAAGAATTTTTCTGTGGTTTATGAAATACCTCAAAGTACACTGAGGAAGGTGAGTTTCATAAAATTAGGTTAAGATTTTAGAATTTCTTTGTGAAAGATTTTGGGAAATGTTAAAGCCTTACCTCCTGGCTGGTTGTTGCATCATGCTGGCTTCAGCTGCTTTGTGCTCCAGAGCTTGTATATCCTGAATTGTAAGTCGACCTAGCCGAACTCCAGCCAGCCTCAGCAATGGTGAGTGATGCTGAGCCTTTCCTAGGATGTATCGAAGTTGTTGTACAAAAAACCAGCCTTCCCATGCCATGTTAACAAATGGGTAGGCTGCCAGGAAGGCTCTATAAAACTGTTTCCAGCGGGAAGAAGGGGGGTGGATAGAATACTCATCCTCTTCTATGAGGCTAGAAACCAGCTTCTCCAGCTTCACTTTCAGGTAGGGAAGAAGAACCAGGAACATAACTGACTTCCAAAGCTGCTTCTTTGGGAGACCAGCACTGGCCAATCTCTCAGGCTTGTGTGTGTCCCCCATCACAATGCGCTTTAAGCCATAAAAATTTTCAGAAAATGAAGCACTGGTTTTAGACAGATAATGCTGCTGGAGCAGAAGATCTAGCAGGGTGAAGATTTCATCAAACCACCTCCAAAAGAAGCCATAGCGGGCAGGATTTGATTCTGCGAGAACCTAAAGCAGAGTAAATTAATAAATGAATTTCATTCCATTTCATAATTACTCTGCATTGTATTCACATTTCCTTTTTTTTTCCCTCTGAATTCTGATAGGTTCGGCTTAAACTAGTCACCTCTTTTGGGGGTCTGCCCTGTCCTCCCTGAAGTGCTGGGTATGCAGTACAGGGCTCTACACATAACAGGGACTCAATAACCGTTAAATCATAGGATATGAATTATATGTTAATTGGCAATTTCAAAACCTAGGCAACCAAATAAACTCAAATTATTGGTTTGGTTTTTACCCAGTCGTCCCTAAAACCTTTCCGAGAATTAATACCTTACCTTGACCACATGCTGAAGAGCAGGTCTCACGGCTGTCATTAAACTGTCCTGTGCTACCACCTCAAAGATGGATGGCTGGTCATCCGCCACAGAAGCAGTTGTGATGTGAGCCCCATGTTCAGCCATAGTTTCCTGTGTGTACTGGGTTTCGCTTTGCCCACAAACTCTTTAGTAAGCATGAACTTGTTTTAGTTATCAAACGGGTGCTCAGTCTTAAAGGTAATCTTTCTGCAAGAGACCCCAAACTCCTCTTTTACAGAACTGGGTGGGGGGGGGTCTCAAATTAAGGCGGTTAAGAACGAAATTAAGGCAGACATGGCAGAAATTAAGGTGGAAGTGGTAATGTGGGGTAGGGGTTACTTGTCAAATGCACCTGTGAGGGCAGAGCATGCCTATGGGGCACAGGTATGGGCAAAGGAGTGCTCCCTTCTGGAGCTGTAGTCCGGGAGGGTACGAATCTGGGGCTCTCAATCGTGAGGGCTTAAAAACCAGCCAGCTCTGAGGTGTTAGAGGTGCCAGTGCGGACCCGGTACGCGAGGACTGGCTCCAGCTGTTGGCTGCCAAGTGTCCGCGCCTATCCTTGCGCGCGGACCCCAGGCGAGGCGTGAAGGACCCACGACGCCACGTTTGAAGAGAGGCCTCCGCTTTATGACAGAAGCCGCACCCGGAAATAGAAGCCCGGGATTGGGACGGCCGACGGAGGGGAGGCGCTCTAGCCCCGAACGTGGCCGGGGAACCGGAACTAGCGAACTCTATGATCCCAGTGGGACTTCCGCTTCCGCTCCTGCTGAAATTAAAGAAGTCACTGGGGGCCTGGCTTAAAGTGTAAACCTGTGCTTGTTTATTTTACTTATCTTAGCTGGTTTTGCTTCGCGTCCTCTCTGGGAAGCCACAGCTCTGACTCTCCCTCTGCAGAGGTTTTTTTGGCAAGGTGTTTGGGGCGCCGCGCCGACGTCTGACACCCGGAGCCAAGAGTTTGGGCCTGCTGCTGAGACCTGTGTTCCCTTGGGCGATTTAGTTAGGGGTGGGGGGACAAAAGGGAATATGGAAGTACGGAAGTTCTCTCTGTGCGTGCGGCGGGGGTGGTGGTTAATTTATATTCCGCCGCCTTCCAGGAAGGATTTGGAGCGACGCAGCCGGGGATAGAAGCCTTTAGCTTTGTTGCCAATTATTAAAAAGATAATTAGAGTGAGAAAGGTTCCTGCAGTTCATTAGAACTGGGAACGATTACTTTCCATTCTAGCTGGTAGATTAACTGTCTTCTACGTGTAGTTATGTTCAAGCATAACTAGGCACTTGCCACACTCGATGAAATGGTTCCTGTTCTCGTACACGTTTGGATGTGTCATAGCGAAATGAATACATTGCCAAGAAGGAGGGATCCTGATGAATTCTAACTAGAATGAACTGGGGACGCTTGGCAGATGGTACTTTTCACTGTTTGTATACGAAAATTAACGTAATTTACGGTTTGCAGAGTGCTTTTACATTGTGTGCGACTTTGCCTCGTTTGAGTTGCTTATACAGGTTTATTGAATTTCGATGAGTTAAAGTTCAACCATTCCTCTTTCTCTCCAACCCCTCCTCACTGCTGTGCTAAATGGATAGGAATAAAAGGTATTCACTGCCTTACAGGACCTTATGGTATAAAGACAATTGGTTTGCATAATGAGAACCCTCAAAAACAAGGTTTGGGTTTAATTGTTTCAATAAAATCTTGCAAGTTAATCTTACAGTTCTAAACGTGTTTTTTACTCTACGAGATAACCTGCCAGCGAAAATCACGTTGATAGAAGACTTTTACCTTACAGGGGGCGCCTGGGTGGCTCAGTCGTTGAGCGTCTGCCTTCAGCTCAGGTCATGGTCCCAGGGTCCTGGGATCGAGCCCCACATCGGGCTCCCTGCTCGGCGGGAAGCCTGCTTCTCCCTCTCCCATTCTACCTGCTTGTGTTCCCTCTCTCGCTGTCTCTGTCTCTGTTAAAAAATAAATAAATTTAAAAAATCGTTTAAAAAAAAGACCTTTACCTTACAGAATTTCAAGGTCTAGAGATTATGTATATAAAGCAGCTGCTGTATGGATAATGGGAGGAAAGTTGAGGTTTCTGGTAGTGCAGGCAATAGGTGGTGGTGGTTTAGATTAATGAGGTGGAACAGAGGGGATGGGATGAATTAAAGATTTATTTTGAAGGTAGATTGACAACTTGAAAATGGTTTGGATGTGACCATTAAGGGAGAGAGAAATCAAGAATGACTGTCCAGGTTTCTGGCTTGAGCAATTTAGTGTAATTTATTGAGATAATCACATTTGTAGCAAATGCTATGTAGTCATACTATGTGCAGCCATAGTTCTAAGTGCTTTGTGTATTATTATTATTGTTTAAAGATTTTATTTATTTTTTTGAGAGAGAGAGAATGAGAGAGAGCACATGAGAGTGGGGAGGGTCAGAGGGAGAAGCAGACTCCCCGCCAAGCAGGGAGCCCAATGCGGGACTCGATCCCGGGACTCCAGGATCATGACCTGAGCCGAAGGCAGTCGCTCAACCAACTGAGCCACCCAGGCGCCCCAGTGCTTTACGTATTATTAATTCCCTTTATCCTTATAACAATATTATGATTGGATATAAATATTTCCCCATTTTACAGATGAGAAAACTAAAGAGCATAGAGATGGGAGAAACTGAGGGAAGGATAGGTTTGGACTTATTAGGCATTGAGGAGCTGTTAAAAGGTTTTGAATAGGAGAGGGATATGAATCAAAGTCCTTCAATAAAGATTTTTCTGGTGGCATCTCTTTTACAAAATGCACCTCTGATTTCTGGGAGTTGTAACTGGAACCAGGTTTTTCAACACCCCTCCTCCCTCATCTCATGATTTGTTTACTTTGGGTGGGCCATAAATACAGAATTTTCCATCAGTGTGGTTAGCAATTTGGTGGTGAAGTTGGGAATAGGTCAAGGCTAGAGATAGAGATTTAGGAGTCCTATGGGTAGGAACGATCATTGAACTCATGGTATTGCTAAAACGATAGTCTAAAGAAAATGTATGAGTATAGAACTTAAAAAAAATCCTCGCTATTTTCTCTCTCAAATATCCTATATACTCTTTTCAGCCATATTTTCTTATGGAGTTATCCATAACTCCTGTTTTCATTTCCTCACCTCCCATTCATCCTCAAACTTCTGCAGCATGGCTTTTGCCTTCATATCTCTACTGATGGTCCCAGCAATGACATCAAAGACTATTTACTTATATATTCGGAAGGAGGGGGTCGGGGGTCGGGGGAGAGAGAGAATCTTAAGCAGGCTCCATGCCCTGTGCAGAGCCATGTGGGGCTCCATCTCACAACCGTGAGATCATGACCTGAGCTGTAATCAAGAGTTGGTCCCTTAACTGACTAAGCCGCCCAGGCACCCTGACATCAAAGACCTTTATGTTGCTAAATCCTTGGGCACTTTTCAGCCCTCCCTCCTCCTCTAGCAACTGTAATTGTTGATCACTCATACATTTATGCATTCAACAAATTTTGGGGAGGTGGGCTAGGTCTCAGAGATAGAGGAGTGGACAGATGGTATAGTTCCTACTTTCATAGAACTCTAAAAACATACTAAAACATTATAACCACTTGCTTTTCCTTCCCCCTTTCTACTTTGTAGTCCCCTTTGCATTTTGGTTTCCTCAACTTCTGCCTCAGGCTCTCTCGCTCTCCACATTTTTTTTTTTAAAAGACTTACTATTTGTAGAGCAGTTTTAGGTTCACAGCAAAATTGAGGGAGAGATATTTCTAGGTCTTGGTTTCCAAAAGTAACTTTTGTGTAAGCACTCCTGTTATAAGTCGGGTGCTTTACCTACATTATCCCATTTAAACTTCACAAGCCAGAGAGCGTTAGATCATTGGCTTCATTTCACAGATAAGACTAAGGTTAAGGAGATGTTAAGTGATTTCCCAGTCATATTCAAGGCAGGGATTTGGACTCAGATCTGATGCCCTCTCAACATGTTTTCCGTGCACCACTTTCCCCTGGTCCCACTGCCCATGGATAGTCCTGGGCTGGATCACCATTGTCCACAGTCCTGAACTGGCCTGCAAAATTAGCTGAGCTTTTACATTTTTTTTTTTTAATAAAAGGAACAGGATATTTCATCCTCTCTATGTGAGAGTTCTTAGGGAACTCCTGTGCGAGGAAACAAATCCAGAGAACGTCAGTTTGTTTAATATATCCCTCTGCATAGCCAGTGAACTTCCTCTTGGGTCCAGTTGCCAGCTTCCAAGCAAAAAAAAAAAAAAAAAACAAAACCAACCTGTCCGTCTCCAAGGCGGCAAAAATAGCCGCCTTTCTAGTTCTCCCGCGCCCGGGGATGACGCGACGCGGCGAGGTTCTCTGACGTCAGAGTTTCCTGTCCACCATCTTTGTCCCTGGCAAAGTGGGTTTTGCGCAGTGGCTTAGACCTGGAGAAGGAGTCGTGACGTGCAGGAAACCATTACAACACCACTCGGGCCGTGCTCTCTGGCTGCTGCCGCCACCCCCACCCTTGCCTCCGGTGAGTTCAAGGCGGCTAACTTCGGGGTGTGTCCCTCATTGATGGGAAGGGGACCCCAGGTTGAGTTGGAGGTTGGTGGGGGGGAAGAAGAAATCCTAGGAGCGTGACCGTTGAGGATGATGTGAGCCGTCGGGTGTGACCGTTGTGAGGAAGAGGGCTGGAGAAAGGGACTCCACCGCTGTGGCGTGGCGAGGGAATTCTCGGGTGTGGCAGCTGGGAATTGGGGGGGCACCAGAGGTAAGATGTTTGAGGTCGGGGGTTGGGGCCAGAGGCCAGGGGTGTGGCCAGTAGAGGCTGGAGGCCAAACGGGAGAACCTTCCTTCTTCCCCGCTTGGCGTCGTTCACTCAGAGGCTGGGACATGTCCAGCTAAGCAGAAGGGCAAAGGGATTCCCCCTCAGGTTTGTCCATTGATGGGCAAAACTCGCCCGTCTCCCGTAATTTGAGGTTAAGCGACACCTCTCTCCCACCTCGTAATGGAAGAATATATCCCTAGAATCTCGACCACCCGGGGCGGAGGAGGCATTCCTGACACTTGGGGGAAGGGAAAAGAAACCTTCAGACCCGATGAGGGGGTGGGGTGGGGGGGAGCAAGTAGGGGTACATCTTAGCCCCGAATTTTTTCTTTCTGGGCTTAGCAGGAATGATCTGGTTTGAGAAAGGCTGTAGACTAAACCAGAGGTAAAGAAACTGAAATGTCCTGTTATTTCCATATTCTTTGAATCCAAAGAATTAATTCATGCTGTTTTCAGAGCCGTCTTCTACCTGGGGGGAGGCTTTTATTGAACTCACCTGGCTGTTTCATTATGAAGCAGTGTGGATAAAGTGTTGATGCTTCATTAAACTTTGATTTTTAAAAGAAGTGTGTTTTAAATGCCAGATGCTGTTATGATAATCATTGTGGTTTTAAAAAAGTAAAATGCAGTAAGTTTAGAAAAGGCGGGATGATCAAGAAAGTGGTCTGAATGAGGAACAATTTAAATGCTTAATTACCTTTCTGGTATGCCTGTATTGCTTAGCCTCAGGGTATACTTACAGAGTAATAATAGAAAGCAGCAGATGAAGGAGATGCAGCTGTACAAGAAAACGTGTAACATTCCAATGATGACTAAGCGTGGTGGTAAGGTG